TTGAATGCAAAACAGCCACTCCCTGGGAACCTTCAACAAGCCTTCCAATATCTCCTTCTGGACTGTATGCAAGCTTACAGACCTTTTCTTTTCTTCGTCAACGTATAAACGCACAGTACGGGGATAAGAGGGCGCAACTCTCTCCATCCTGGATCCCTCCTCGTTCCTAGTGGTAGATCAGGTCGTCCCCCAATAGCAGCAACCGGACTGCGCCTCCCAAAGGAAGACACAGCCGGAAGGCCGAGGGACTAGCGTCTCCACACACCAGGACCTTCTGACAAGACCAGTTTTTACACTTGATCTTAGCCAAAAGGCCGAGAAGCGATAACCGGAATGGGCGCCCAGCTACACACCTGCCATTCGCCTGGGCTTCTTCAGCTTGCGGTGAGCCTTGGGCACAGTGCCACCCACCTCTTCCTCATCTAGGTGTAAGCTGGCTACAAATAGCAACAGAGACACAGTCAGTCACAGAGCACACAACCTCTGAGCCCTGGAAACACAGCTCCCCTTCTTAACCTTGTCCATTCCTCTATATGCTCCCCTCCAGACATACCTTGCACCTCTCCCTCTCCAGCTGCTACCACTGATGAGCCTAACGAGGCTGCTGGATCACCTGGTCTGTTCCTCTTCAGCTGCAAGTAGGGTAGATAGAGCAAGCAATTAAGCACCTGCTGGTTTGCTCACTCACTCAATGATTCAATTAATTAAACCCTTAATTGGTTACTTGGATGTTGCTCCGATTTCCCTCCAAAACATTAGTGCTGTAATTTCAAAGACCAGCATGCTGCAGGCTGCAGAAGATTTGCATAATACCGCCCACTTTTCAACACTGATAATGCAGCCAGCCAGCCAGCCAGCCAGCCAGCATAGAAATACTCTGGCTTCCCAATGGATATACTTGGCACATTTATTTATTCAATGAAGTGATTACACAGATTTACAGGACAACAATGAATACATTGCATCAGGTGAACAGAATTGAATGTTGCACACACAGCACATGATAGATAATAACAAATCGGACAAGCTATCCAAATGAAATAACAGTTACCAAACATTGCTACAAGTGTCCATAATTGCAAGGAATGCTTTTGGTCGCTCGGTCGGTCGGTCCGGGCTTCATTCAGGCATGCCGCAGACAGGGGGAGGCAGAGATCGCACTTACGGCAGAGAAAGAAAGCAGGAAAGGAGAACGCGTTTGCCTTCGTTTGCAGGTTTCCTGCATTTCTTTGCCACCCACCAAGTGTGAGTCCAGAGGCTTGCTTTTTCTTTTTCAATTCTATTTTTGTAACCAGCATAAGAGAGGTGCACCGGTCCTGGAGGTACTGCAATACCAGGTCAATGCGTGGAGTGGACAGAGCAAGCTCTTCTTCCATCTCCCTGTCCCAAAAATCCATTTAATATATGGTCCCCAGATAGGGGACGTATCAGATATTAAACTGATAAGAACAGATTTTTTTTTTTTTTTTTTTTTTGAATCACTCAGTCACAGAGTATTTCCTCCAGATGACATTCAAGGAACCTCTCAAGTAACATCCTCATGATTCTTTTCAATAAAAAATTTAACAATAACACACAAAATCACTACAAACCCTATCACCTTCCCCTCAAAACACAGCAAGCCACTCACCACAAAAGCATTGCAAATTTGAAATCTTAACACAATCATCCAACCATTCATACTTACCCCATTTTTCTTCAACAATCAGAACATACATAATATTTTCAATAATATCCAAAAACGCCACACAGCCCACCACCCAATATCACCAATACCCACCAATTCGTCTTTAACCCTTCCCTAGAGAAAATTCAAAAATACAGGTTACTAAATGAACAAAAATACAATAATATTTTCTGTACTTCTATTTAAATTCCAAATCTTACCCTCTAACTTTGCCAACTACCCACCACCAATGCATCATCTCTACGCACACCATTTCTTCCATTTCTTTGTTTTCCATACACCCTCAGCATCCATTTCATTCTTCCTCCTCACATCTCTCAGATAATACAAATACACTTTCCCTTTTACCATCCTAACACATGCATCTATCGACAACCTTTCATTTTTAAAAACAAATAAATTTCTTGCATCCCATAAAGTTTCCTTAATACACGCCATCAATATCCACAGCACTCTCTCTTTTTCTTTATCAAGCTTACACAAACCAAACAATAAAACTTCATACGAAAAAACAGAAATCCCAGTCAGTCCAACCACCAATTTTAACAACTTTTTATTACATTCCCTCACAAACTCACAATTCCACAATACATGCACTATATTCTCTCTCCCTCCACACCCTTCCCTTGGACACATTTCTGACCTCGCTAATCTCCTACTATACTGCACTTCTCTTGTTGACAAACAATTATTCACTGCCATCCAAGCTACATCTCTCTGTCTATTAACAATCTCAATTCCATCCATTCTCTTCCAAACTTCCTTACTCTGTGCCTCACTTAACCCATCAATCCCAGTCACCTCTTCTCGATCATTCAATATTTTAAAAACTCTACGCCTTTCACACCATTCGTCTCCTGTAACATTTTGTAACTCATATTTTTTAACACATACTTCAATTCTCCTATAAAACCATGGTTCATTAAAACATATAGGTTTTGTCTTATCAATCACATACAAACCATACCTTCTTAAAGCCATACCAGCTGCATACTTAAGCATACAAGCTACCAAACTCTCTTTTTTACTTAACCTCACACATAATCCTACATAATGTACTAACAAAAACTTCTCTAAATCCGGAACATTCATTCCTCCATTTTCTCTTCTTTTCATTACTTTTTCATAACTCAATCTCTCCATTCTACTACCCCAAAAGAACAAGAATAAAATCCTACTTAATTTCCGTAAACTTCTGCCACTCAAAGGAAAAACAAAATTCAAATATAATATTATGGGTAATAAAACTGCTTTTATTATTAAAACTTTACCTTCAAATGATAACACTCGCTCACTCCACAATCCAATCTTTTGATTCACTCGATTCACAACTTTACACCAACTCTCTTTTCCTTTTAAATCTTCATCAAACTTCACTCCCAAAACCTCAATCCCATTTTCTACAATCGGCCATCCACACAACTCAATTTCTTTCCATTCCCCAAATGCTTTGCATGCACATTTACTCCAGTTCATTTTAAAACCACTTGCCAAACTAAAAAATTCAACCAACAATTTCACTCTCCTCAATCCTGCCTGAGATTTACATACAATAGTTACATCATCCATATACCCAATAACTTTCAAACATCTCGCATTACTTCCAGGAATTTCAATACCTCTCACCATCTTATCATTCTTAATGCTTCTCAACAAGGGTTCAATCACACAAATGAATAAAATAGGCGACAGGGGGCATCCCTGTCTCACACCCGATTGCACCTGAAAACTTTCAGTCAACCATCCATTCACTTGCACCACACTTTCCATATTTACATACATGCTTCTAATCCAATTTAACATTTTTGCCGGTATACCCATCCTCTCTAAAACATTAAACATAAATTCATGCGCAACTCTATCATAAGCTTTCTCAAAATCTATTGTCAATATTGCCACCTCTTGTTTTCTTTCCTTACACAACCATAATACATCTCTCAAACCTATCAGACTTTCTGCAATCAATCTTCCAGGCACTGCACAGACTTGCTCTTCTCCAACCAACCCCTCAATCACCATCTTCATCCTATTTGCAATCAATTTTGCCACAATCTTATAATCAACATTCAACAGCGTTATTGGTCTCCAATTCTTCAAATCCATTCGATCACCTTTTTTATAAATTAACACAATCACTCCTTTTCTCATTGATTCAGATAATTCACACTTACTAAAAACATACTTACATACCTCTAAAAAAAATCATTCTCTATCACCTCCCAACACATCCGATAAAATTCTATGGGCAGTCCATCACAACCAGGTGTCTTATTTAACTTAAAATTACTAACTGTCTCACTCAATTCCTTTTTATCAAAATCTCTTACTAACCATCTTTCATCCTCCAGACTTATCCCATGTTCAATACATTCCAATACTTCTTTTTCCATTACCTCATTTCTTTCCTTTTTAACATACAATTCTGTATAAAACTTCTTAACTTCATTTAAAATTGACGTTTTCCCTTTTAACACTACACCCTCTTCATTCAAGACCCCTTCCATACCTTTCCTACTTTCATACGCTTTTTTAAAGAAAAATCTCGTACATTTTTCATCACATTCAAAAACTTTCAATCTAGCAGCAAACACAATTTGTCTTCCTCTTTCTTCCAAACATTTACATCTCTTTTCCCTTGCATACTCCAATTCTTGTTCCACTTCAAAACCTAAATCTCTCAATTTACACAAGTAATCAATCCGCAACCTCCATTTATTCAATTTTTCCTTTTCCCTATTTGCCATTTCCCATCCTTTCCTTATAAAAAAACTTTTTGTCTTACTTTTTATCCAGTCCCACCATTCAATTATACTTTTAAACTTACATTTACATTCTTTCCATTTACAATAATTCATACCATATTCTTCTCTCACTTCTTCATCCATTAATAATTTTATATTCATTTTCCAAAAACTTCTCCCGTATTCAACCATTCCATCCATTCTTACCTCACATTCTAGGAGCACATGATCTGAAAATAAAACTCTGTGTGCGTAGAGATTCTGCTGTAACACCCTGTGAAATAAAGCAAAAATCAATACGTGATTTTACCACCCCCTTATCACTAAAATACGTAAAAATATCATCATTGCCTATCACCCTTATTGCGTCTGTAAACCCAAAATCTTTAATCAAATTACTAAGAATACGTCCCGTCCTATCCAATTTATAACCTTCCCCTATACCCACCCTATCTTCCTTTCTTATAATACAATTAAAATCCCCCGTAAACAATGTGAATTCCCTCCCCGACAAAACCAAACCCATACTTTCAAAAACTTTCACCCTTTCATTTTTATCAACTGGTGCATACATATTAATTACCCTGCACCTTATACCTTTATACAAAAAATACACCATTAAAACCCTCCCTGACACAATTTCCAATACTTTAGTTACTTCATATTCCCACCCCTTAAATAAAACTGCAATTCCCACATTCCTCCCAACACCCAAGGAATAAACTGAAGGACCCTTCTCCCACTTTACACTAAACGGTTCCTCTGTTAGATTACATTCTTGTAAACAAATTATATTAACAGTCAATCTCCACAAAAAATCAAAAATCATAGCTCTTCTAGCTGCTGTTTTAATGCTTCTCACATTTAAAGAAGCTATCCTTAACATTTCTCAGAGAAG